TGATAAAAATACATTAAAAAGGCATTTTAAGATGTCTTCAAAAATTTTAATATCTTTTAGATTACAAAATAAAATTTCAGTACATTAAAAGGCACAGCAGGTTTAAAATATTCACTAAAACATTAAACTAAAAATATGTAAAATTATTTCACAGGGCCAGTGTTGAAAAGTGCATGATATACATAAATCACATAAGAAGGCCACTTTAAAGGTTCCTGCATAAAAAAAAACAACAACTAACAGTTCCCCTATTAGTGCTTCAGTGCTTTAGTGCTTTAGGGGAACTGTGCCCACCACTGGTTTTTGCAGTAAAACAAAAATAAATACAAGGTATGTTAAAGTGCATGTGATGTAAAAGTTCTACAAGTTGTTTAAATTGTTAAAACAGAAGTTTGTTTACAAAATGAAGAGGATTTTCTTCAACAGGTAAGATATTTACTGTTCAGAAACACGTTCAAAACGAAATAAACATCCATTTAAAGAAGCAGAGCTTCACTTCTCTTATTGAATGTATTTTTTATAAAGTGTTCAGCAGTTTAAAGCTAAAAGAGCTGCAGACCTGTTGATGCCTGTTAGAGGCCTGCAGACCACAGAACCGCAGACCCGGACCCACCTTGGTCCTGGACGTAGCGGACGATGTTCCCGCGGACTCCGTACTCTGACACCGCGCACGGCTCGCTCTCCCGGGCCTGGAGGCCCTCTGACCTCCGGAACATGCTCCACAGCTCGGAGGGGACGTGAGGCCGGTTCCGGCGGGCTCCCGCGGGCCGAGGCCGCCCGGRAAGCCCCAGGGCGGTGAGGAAGAGCCGCTCCTGAGTCCGCGCGTCCGTCGAGTCCAACTGAGCCCGAATCCCGGCCCAGAACCAGACAGAGAACCAGAACAGGACAGGAGCCATGTGGAGCGTCTGAGAGCCTCCGGCAGTCTGCCTCCACCTGAGGACGAACCAGCTTCAAGAGGCGGAACCGGGTCCGAATCCACATCCACAATCCACAAACCAGTCTGCAGAAACCAGCAGGAGGTACTGGAAGCATCTGCATTTAAACACAAAACACTGTTTTACTTTGGAAAGGTACACAGTCAAAAATTACCAACAATATTTTGTTTTATTTAGACTTTTATAAGAAAAAAGAACAGATTTATTT